AGGTGCATGCAAGTCGCTTGGTTAGGATACATTTTCTTGTTTAATTTCCATCGAAAGAGCATTTTGACAGCTGACATAATATATACGGAAATGTTAGAACTTTGATGATGGGTTTTTTGGTTTTAGGTTGTAAAAATATAGTATCAAAATAATGGTAAATAAAGCATCAGTTAGATCGAAATATAAGGTAAATAACTTAAATGTCTGTATCTTTAGCAAGCACATCAAAATATATTTCCCTTGCTAAAATGAAAAATGTGAAAATCACAAGAATGTGTAAACGACTACTAAGACCCATCTTTCCAAAATGATAATATTAAATGGATAAGCAATGGTGTGAGACTTAGGCTTCGTTCACATGCAATGTCTATTTTCTAAATTCTATTTTCTATTCGCGCTATCTTATGATCACGGTCTGTGCCCTGAATATCCCGCCGCGTAATTACTGGCAGCGCGAGCCAGTTACTTATAGTAACTTATAGAAACTGGCTCGCGCTGCCAGTAATTACGCCGCGGGATATTCAGGGCACAGACCGTGATCATAAGACTTACCGCGAATAGAAAATAGAATTTAGAAAATAGACATTGCATGTGAATGAAGCCTTACTCGTTTTTATAAATCAATTATAAACAAAACTTACTGTAATCAGCGCAGTCAGGTGGAACCTAAAATAAAACATAAACATTATGAAGACAGGCACTATTTGCGGTTTCTTTCTGAAGGTCATGTGGGAGAAACGGCACGGCGACCTTATGCAATGTAGACATATTCGGCGTAGCTCGTAGTCCTTTACGCTGTCAAAAAAATTGTATAGAAAATCCTACACGATTTCATCGCACGGCACCCATGGCAAATGTAATCTAGGCCTAAGTCTATCGAGAGAGTGATATCATGCCGTAGACTATGATTAGATCGTATTCATAGATCAATGGCCCTCTTATCCAAAGTAATATCTGTCATGTAACGGTTGGCCCACTCATGATATCTAACTAACGATTTTTTAATTGAGGCCTAGACAAAAACCACACACTAGTATATAATTACCTTCATGTAGTGGTGGCTTGCTTCATCATCAAGAAGGTTCAACTTGGCTGGGGTGAAATCTGCCGCAGAATTCAGTTCACACACGGCGTTGTCAGATCTTATGTTGAAAGACATACAGTGTGTGTTTTTCTGGCATTCCATAGCACATTGTATTTTACTTATTCCATTTCGTTGTTCTTTGGTTTTGAAAGCCTTATTTGGTAAATATTTTCCAGGTATTTTGTGGAAATAATCAACGACGGTGGCACCTTTTCTTGCCTCTGAATCACGTAAAGCAATAACCATAATACAAATTACAAAACAAATCAGGGGCCTCACACGCGATACTGCCATGACGAGGCACACCCGAAAAATGACAAGACGTCGAAAAATATCTTAAAATATACAAGTCTCACTTTATTAATTATGTATTAGAAGGAGTTAAAATTTATAATGATTGATAATTTTATGTGAGTTGCACATTTGTCATTTTTTAATTACGTAAAGTATTACATGGATGGTAAATGGCTGTAAAAGGATGACTCGAGGATGGTGAATGTATGGTTGACGATATATGTTAATTTAAAACGACATGGCAAATAAACCAAATAAGCAGGGAAAATTAAGTTTTTCCCACACCTGAAATCACTGACAAAATGAAATATTACTTTGTATTACTCAGCACATTAGATGATTAAATAACATCTTCTTTGAGTGATTTATATATTATGTTAAATTTGAAGCTTAAAAAGAATCCAATTGTCATCTTACAACTTTTTATTACCTTGACTATGTTTAGGGCCATTTATATTTATTTTGGCAGTAGATATGATAAAGTAAAATACCCACACTCTTGGGATACGAACACGCCTACGAACGTTGCCTGTTGGACATGAAACCGAACGTATTTCACTGTTCAAGTAAATCAATGACCTATTGTTGCCTTATTCAGACGCATTAGCCAGTATCGGCAACCGTAACGAACGCATTCACATCATGGTCTTCTAAATCAATGTCAGTGGCGTAAGACTCGGTTGGATTAATTGCTTTCCACTTATAGCCTATTAGTCTAACCATTTTTTTTTACATATATTGTTTCAGGCATGGTTGCATTTCCACTCACCTGGACCGGAACGGACATTTTGATCAATTTACGTCTTCAGATGACAGTCAGATAGATATAACCTAGTGTGCGCTTTAAATTCATAACATACATGTAGGGGCCCTTTTTAAGTGTGCGCACATGTGACTGCAAGTGCTCGCGCGCGTTCACTCTGTTTTTTTTTTTTTTTTTTTTTT